ATCAATACTCTTAAAAAAGTGACTTTAATATGGGCTAGCCTAAAAATGATCAGTATTTGTTATGTATTCACTTACTATTCAAGATTAATTAATCTGCTATTATAATCCCTTAAACATATGTTACTTTCTTGACTAAATATTAATCCGTCATTTGAATGATTCAACTTAATCTCTCCTCTTTCTCTGAGTTTATGCATTTTAAAATCTTGACTCTATTTTTACCATTTCTTATAAATTATTTTATGATCCACAATACTTTAAATGTTTTCATCAATATAATCTATACAATTCATCTAATAATTAAAGTACAGGTTGTGTTTTGTACAACTTTTATTGTTGTAATAAAAAACTTACATCTTATTATTTTTTTCCTGAGTGTTTAACTTTTTAACTAAATTGTGTTTTTCTTTAGGGTAAAATTGAACATGCTCAGTGTAAACTAGGGGATTATTAAATATTTTCAAATTTAAAATACTATTTAAGTAGAAAAAGTGTATTAATTTCAAAGAAACAGAAGACTTATTTATTTTTTCTTTTACTTTTATTAGGATTTGCCAAAGAAGAAAAAGTGAAAGTATCAGAATCTATCAAAAATATAAGAAGAGATTGTAGAAATACGGCAAAGAAAGAAAGATCATTTCTAGAAAATAAAGGATTGGATTATCAGCAGAATAAATTTGATTAAACTATTGGAAGTATTTGGAAGATTACTGGTGATTGTTTTGATCTTCACATTCTGTGTTAGTGTTGAGAGATAAATGAGTAATGAATAACTTCCTGTGTGAAATTAACATTTTTTATAATTTAGTAAAGGAAAAGAATGATAGGTTGATATTTTTATGACCGCCAACCTAGGTGCTACTGTTTGAATGTTTGTCCCTTCTGAAAATCATGTTGAAATTTAATTGCCATTGCAACAGTATCAGAGGGTGGAACCTTTAAAAGGTGATTAAGTCCCACCCTCATGGGATGGATTTGTGCTATTATAAAAGGGTAATTTTGGCCTCCTCTTTACCTCTTTTGCCCTTCTGCCTTCTGTCATGGAATGATGCAGCAAGAAGGCCCTGGCCAGAAGGTGGCCCTTCAACTTTGGGCTTCCCAGCCTCCAAAACTGTGTCAATAAATTTTGATTTATTACAAATTACCGAGTCTCAGGCATTCTGTTATAGCAGCACAAAGACTAAGCCAGAAAACTGGTACTGAGAAGCAGAGCTGTTGCTATAACAAATACCTAAAAATGTGAAAGTGGATTCTGAACTGGATAATGGGTAGACGGTGAAAGAATTTGAAAAAATAGGCTAGAAAAGTCTAGGTTGCCATAAATGGATCATTAAGGGTGATTCTGATGTGGGTTCAGAAGAATTGTACAGAAAGCTGGAAACTTCTTAAAGGTTACTTAAGTGGCCATGATCAGAATGTTGGTAGAAAGATGGATGGCAAAGGCAATTCTGATGAGGTCTTAGGTGGAAATAAGGAGCAAGGTGTTGGAAATTGGAGTAAAGGCCATCCTTTATATAAAGTGACAAAGAACTTGGTTGAAGTTGTCCATGCCCAAGGGATGTATGAGAGGCAATATTTAAATGCAATAAACTAGGATATCTGGTGGTGCAAAGCATTCAGGGTGCTCTATGACTTCTTTTAACTGCATATAGTAAAATTTGAGAAAAAAGAAATGATTTAAAGATGAAATTTATAATTGAAAGGGAAGCAAAACTTAGGGATTTGAGGGATTATCAGCTTGGCCCTGTGGTAGAGAATGAAAGAGAATTTTCAGGAGAGGAAACTAATGATGTGGCCA